AGCGTTTGTGCCCTTACGAGTATCTAATGCCACCGCAGATCTGACAGAAGATGGTGCTCAGGTGGTAACATGAGTCATGGGGAATAGCTGTAAATACAGATGAAGCTTTGTTCACTTGTCCACCACTCACCTCCTTTTGTGCAGCCCTATTCCTAACTGGCCATGGACTGGTACTGGTCCATGGTCTGGGGGTTGGGGACACCTGCAAAGTAAATGACAACACAGGGAGTGGTGGCTCATGCCTGTAATCCCAGCACTTTGAGAGGCTGAGGTGGGTGGATTGCTTGAGCCCAGGAGTTTGAGCCTGGGCAACATAGCAAAACTTCGTCTCTACCAAAAATAAAAAATTAGCCAGGCATGAGGTTGTGCATCGTAGTCCTAGTTACTTGGGATGCTGAGGTGAAAGGGTCCCCTGAACCCATGAGGTCAAGGCTGCCATGAGCCTTGATTGTAGTGACTGTGCCACTGCCCTCCAGCCTGGGTGACAGAGTGAGATCTGACTCAAATAATAATAACACGAATAGTAATAAAATAAAATAAATGACACCAAGCCATTTACTGCAAGTAAGAGATAGTTACACCGGCTCAGGAATAAGTTTGGACTGAAAAATATAAAAATTACCGGAGAGGCTGCATGTGCCTCTTCATCTCATCACATGGGCGTTTTATCTTCACATCATCACAACAATAAGAAGGATGAGTACAGCATGATAAGATACTTTGAGAGAGAGACCACATCATGTAACTTTTATTACAGGATATTACTATAATTGTGCTATTTTATTATTAGTTGTTAGTCTCTTACTGTGCCTAATTTATAAAGTAAACTTTATTATAGGTATGTATAAGAAAAAATATAGTATATATAGTACTATCCACAGTTTCAGCTATTCCCTGGGGGTCTTGGAAGCATCTCCTTCAGATAAGAGGGTACTACTGTATTTGTTAAATGAATGAATAGAAGAGTAAGATATTGTCTTCACCTTTTAAAGAACTTCAAATCTATAGGGGAGAGAAACACTGCTGTAACAGAGAATAAACAAGTGACTATGAAACATTCAGAGAAACTGAGATGTGGAAAGGAAGGCAAATCTCCACTGTCAAGCCAGGAGCGTTAAGATTACATTGTGCTTGAGGTGAAAACCCCTTACACCTCCCAAGTCAGGGAACGCAGTGGTTTGAGAGCAGACACTACATTTCACGCATGAGAAATTCTACTGGATACCCAGATTAACAGCGTTCAGCAAATACTCGTTGACTAATGGCCTGTCACCATTTCGGGAAATAATGAGATTTATGGCTAGAGGTCCTGCCCGCCTCTCGGATCTGCATCCCTACCAATGAACTACCTTTCCCAGCATGCATCAGAGTTACGGCGGCGGAGTTTTTCAAAAACTGGACTACAGCTCCCGGCATGCCGCACCCGGGAACCACACGCCCCGGCAAGCAGGGGCAAGCGCCTATCAGGGGCGCGTCGCGGCATCGGGCCGGCTTGACGGAAGGAGCGGCGGCGGCGGCGGCGGCGGCGGCGGAGGATGGAGGCGGTGGTGTTCGTCTTCTCTCTCCTCGACTGCTGCGCGCTCGTCTTCCTCTCGGTCTACTTCGTATCCTTGCCTGAGGCGGGCGGAGGCCGGCCCGGGCCCGTGCCCGAGGGCCGGGGCTGAGGGTGGGCCGGGTG